CTGATCATCTTTGTGGCCTCCTCTGTACCCGCTGCAACCAGTCTTATACCTTTCTTATGTTGAGGGCCCCACAGCTGGATGTAGTATTCCAGGGGGGGTCTCACAAGAGCAGAGAGGCAGAATCACCTCCCTTGACCTGCTGGCCATGCTTGTCTGGATCTCTTTACTGATTCTCCCAGCAGAGCTTAACATTGGTATGAATTCAGTATGAATGGAAGAGTGCTTGTGCATCTATGTGCGTGAAGACATGAAACATGGGTTAAAGGTATGCGCTAACTGCTACACAAAGCTGTGTGTGTGAGTACATTCAAATGTAAGCAGGGAACAAACTGACATAAAGATAATGCTAAGAAACTGCCACCAAATGTACCTACGTAAGGAAAATAAGGGAATTACATAAAACATTTGTCTGTACTAAACAAAGTAATAAAGCAAATAATAAAGAAAAGCAGTATTCACTCCTACGAGTTAGATAATGCACGTTCAAAATCACTTTGTCATTGTAAATGAAGAAGAAAAGAGAGGTGATGATGATTAGATAATTGGCACAATTTCAGCAGAAACAATTTCATGGAAACAATTCTAGTTGTGGCTTATGTCTTGGTATATACAGTGACAATTTGAGTGTGAGTGAATGACATCTGTGAGTAAGTTAGCTTGAGTGGGTAAAACAAGCTTGCTTAGAGACTCTAAGTATAAGTCACCTTTTCTTACCATATAATCCTGCAATGTTTTTTGTAACATGAATTTCCTACATGATCAAATTGGGAATCATGCTTCCATATTATGCCCAGCACAAGACAGATATGACCTATATCTTACCAGGAATATGTATTTAGTACTGTAACTAAACTTGCTTTATATGCTGTTCTACCTGTAAGTTTCATGAAATTACTCATCTCAGATATTTCACTTAGGGTAATATGGGAGGCTGGTGACATCAGTCAAATAAAAATTAATTTGGAAGAAATGTACTGATTTCAAATTTTTCCTAAAATTTTCTATTCACACGTTCTTTCACCACCTGTGCAGCCCTTTGTGGGTACTGTGTCACTGCTTTCAGATACTTCTGAGCTTTCATAGGATCCACAGGAATAACAGATGCTGAGGGAAAATACTTAAATCAACTCACAGGCAAACCACTACTGTCACATTAATTCTTCACAAGGAGAGGAAATAAGCACCAAAAAGAACTTAATCAAAAGCTCTCTTAGAAGCTGCTTATACATAAAAATGATACAGTAATAAATACAAACAGCAAAATCTGAAATTCAAGCTCTTACAGATTTTCTTCAGCTTGTGGTATAAGAACTCAAGACACTTAAGAACAGTGTGTTCATATCATATCTCACTTTATTATTACTATTACTGTTTACAAATTTATGACAGATTTTATGTAAGTATTCTTTAATGTTGACTGATATCTAACTTTAGTGATGTCACCTGAATATCTAACAAACTTTTTTTTTTTTTCCAGAGCAGAGAAGCTGAACAATAGTTGCATTAGTATTCAGCTTTTCCATGTAAAGGAAAAACAAGGATTTGTAAAGTAGAAATATTAACAAATGTTCATGTTCATGTTACACTTTACCTCTGTTTCTGCTGCATGGGCTGTTGTCTCATAGCCATATATTGCATGTCCTCTTGTAGTCGATTAAGAGGAGAGTCTGGCTTGACACGAATACCATAGTAATGATACTTGGAGTTCCCCCTTTATGAAAGAGCAAGAATTAAAAGAGCAGTAACACTAGTTTTATGCATCAATATTAGATTTACTTTACAATGCATGTTGACTGGCAAATAATACCCACAAACCAAGCATGACTCTTCTGTCATACCTGTTTTAGATGGATGTCATTTAACCACCTTTTGGAAATTAATTCACTCTCTTAAACACGTATGATCCAGAATTTTAACTTGTAATCCACTTGAGTAAGAACAACAACATGGAAATTAATACAAGTTTCTAGTTATGCAGAAAAACAATTGTTTCCAATCAAGAAGCTACATTTTATGTGTACTGATAAAAATCTGCAGTGTATTTATCAAAATGTAACACATAACAGTTAAAACCAGGAGAAGTAAAAATATAATAACATCTGGAAAAGCATAAAACTGTTCAATATTAAGAAAGACAACCAACAGAAAACCACTCTAATATTTAAATACAAGCTTAATTTAGTTTTTTATTAGCAGGCAAGTTTCTTATTCATAATTATTATTTATATTTTCTACTATAGTTCAGGATTTCATTAGCTATACCTAGTTCCAAGTCTTCTGGTCCGTAATCCCATGAAGATTGACCGTATGAGTTTTCCAAAGGAGGCAGCATTGACTGGATCCAACTTGTGTTCCTGACAATGTCGTAAGTAATGGTTGTAAAGGGTACTTCTTGGAAGGCTCACTCCTTCTGCAGTTTCATAGTTGTCTAAAAGCCACTGAAGCTGTATCACATACAAAACAGGGAAAAAAAATCATAATTACTTTATTAAAAATATCTTAGCCATACAACATCAACTTTTGACAGTCTTGAAACCACTCTTCAGGTCTATTAAACAATTACTTCCTTATTCAGAGATCCCTTAAATGCTAGCTATACCACAGTGCTTTAGGATCTTCAGAATTACGAGGAAATAGAAATCATTGCACCTGTGACCTCAAGTAATTGTCCACTCCTTAAAATATTTTTGATTCACTACCACACACCAATACTTGATAAAGGTATAAGGATTTGGAGATAAACTGTTATTACTGCAAAGAAATAATCATAAATATAATTCACATCAATTGCAGAAAACAAACTCTTTGGACTAATAATAGTTAATGTATTTGTAAACATGGAGTATTAAACTATTTTTCTGTGCCTGATGTTAAAAAATATTCCAACACTTAGCTGACTAGGATATTTTTTACTCTCACATACATAAAAGAAAAAAAAAGGTATTGCATATAAATCAGAGAGTTACATAGATAATGTTGAAAATAACTGCTACATCTACAAAGCAGTAGGAGTACAATTCCTTTCAGTTGGAGCCTGTTTGCCTTTGACTTTCAGGAGGAACAGAATGAGATTCTTGGAAAAATACTAATCTTCTTATGGAATTGTGGTAGGTAATTTTAGACACAGGCAGGAAAAAACTTTTCATGTAACATCATTGGACTTTCCAAGTAACGCACACTCATGAAACACTTCCAGCTCTTACAAAAAGGTAAAAGGGACATTTAAATACTCCTAGATGTACATTATAGGAGAATGACAAAAATGACCAAAAATAATATAGGATGAGGATGCATTTAAATTCCAATGTTTTAGTTTTCTAATACACTAACATTTTCTTTATCTTTCCCCAGTACTTGCCATGTTTCAGTTCCCTGAAATTCTCCTTTAGATATAGCTTGAATGATTCACAATTTCATTTTTTGTTTGGATTTTTTTTCACTGTTTTCCCAAGTATTTATACCAAAATAGTACACTGTGAATATTCAAGGTTGCTAGGATCTGAGATCTTACCAAAACTCTAGACTTAATTTGATTATCCAGTGAAAATGCAAACTGACAACACTGTGTCTTCAGGACTTGCTACAAACTTTTATGCTGATCAGCTAGCTATTCACACAAATGTGTAATAATTTTTAATTTAGTCCAGCAAAGCATTAACTACCACAAACAAAACATAAATTACTAAGTAACAAAAAAAGATATACATGGTCTATATGTTATTTATTCCTTTGAAGAATTATTTTCTGTTAGAGCAGTGCAAAATTCTGTTCTATCAATGCTCAGTGCAACTTACCATGCAAAGAACATAAATATTTTAGTGTGCAATAGCCATGAAATGCTATTTCAGTCCTAAGCTTTTCTTTATCACAAAACTTCTATGTACTGAAGCACAGATGATTAAAAAAATATTGAATTTATAGCTATGTTTTAGTCACAGTGAGAAATTCACAATACAAATGCAAAAACATTACTAGAAAATTTATTCTATAACATTGTGTTTGCTTTTTATTGAAAACATGCCCGTAACTTTTCCATGTTTCTTAAATATAAGCTCTAGAAAAATATACAGAAGATGTAAATGTTTCCAAGACAGAAAACTTTTAGCTCAGTTTGCAGGTAGTTTTGCATTTCAAACAGACGAAATGAATAAAGTACAGTTTGTCATCTTTGTATCAGTTATCATATAATTTTATTTTTAAAAAGTCTTAGCATTTACAAGTGCTTTCAAAATGAAGATCTGTTATTTTGAAATAAAGCTGAAGAAAAAGTATAATCATAAACATTAACTTTTATCTGAGTGTATTAAACTTATTTCACTAATGACCTTGCAAAAGTCTGTCTGGGCTTAGAAACAAAGATAATTTTAACTTTCAACTGTTGCATTTTATCTCTATTTAAAACCTATTATTACTTTTGTATTTATATTATATGCATTTATATAACATTTCTCATATATTATTGAATGTATAATTTAATCAGAACAGGTACAGAATGTGAAGTATTTGTTTTCCCCAAATGTAAAAACTTTGTCAATCCCAAAAGACTGTCACACAAAAAATGATTGTTTTCCAATGAGGTTCTGTATGTAGCATTATTTTCCTCTAGATGGCTTCTAACCCATTATGAATCACTTTAAGTGCACTACATTAATGATATAAATTTCTAACAGATGTTATTTCTTGCATTATTCAACAACATAACTTGCATTATTCAACACCGAAAAAACCAAAATCAAGGTAAGTGCAATATAAGAATTTTTGCTCTTGCATTCAAGTACTTAAGAGCAAAAGTTTGAAATCATTACTTGTTAGATTATAGCCTGGAAGAAAAAGTACAGTTAATATATGATTTTAAAAGGAAAATTATCCCCAAACACTATAAAACTGTTATAAGTAACTTAAACAAACAAACAAACAAAAAACAACAAAAAAAAAACCCCACACCATTTTTCTACGAAGTTGAAATATAATTCTAAAACTGAGTGGTTCAGGTTTGAATCCTGGCTTTTTAGTTCATAGTACTGACCATACTGCATGAATAAAATGGATCAAGGTATGAAATGTTTACAGAGTCAGACCTGCTAAAATGACTGTGACTCCAATTAAGTTGCAATGTTTATAAAACATTCAAATATCAATTAATTAAAGAAGTCTATCTCATGCAGAAATAAATCAAGAAAGATAATAAAATGGAGAAATTACAAACGTCTTAAAATGAGCACACATGAATTTAGGCAAAAAAAAAATTCTAGAAAACCTCACAGAGGTATCATAGGCTGAAAATCCCAATTGAAAACTAGTCTCTTCCCACAAATAAACCTATCATCTGCAAAACTGAAAGATAATTAAATGCACAATTTAGAATTCTATTAAAAAAACCTATGACACCCTATTATTTAATAAATTCCAAACCAAACATTAGAAGTCCAAATCAAGAACAGTATAAAGAGACCCACACATATACTTCCTAGATACTGTCCTTACTTGAGTTGAAAGTCAATAACCATTACTTTAAAAATAGGCAAAACATCCAGTAAGTTTAATCTAGATTGTTTACTTCTTCCAAAATGACCAAGGCTACAAAAGACTGATTGCCATGAAATCATGTACAGAGATAATTTCTGGGGTTATTTAGTTTTAGCTTTTCACAAATTCAAGGATAATTTTGAAAAAGCCTTAACAGTCAAGAAAGAAGTATCTTCATAAGAATTAACGGTTGGATGCAGATCTCATTATTAGGAAGACATTGTGAACAGTGCAGAGCACCAGCAGTGAGTGGAACATAGTTTACTGGGGCACAGCAGCTTCATAATAGAATTAAACACAAATTTATCAACACTTCAAGTGTTCCAAGTCTTAACAGAAATCCGTGACACTTTGCCAAAAAAAGTTACGGTCCCTTTAAAAATGACACTTAAATAATAATTTTGAAATTATCTAATACTATCTATTATTATTTAAATAATAATTTTGATACAGTCTTATCTTCAAAACAATGCATGTAAACATCCAAGGTGGCATCTAAAAGTTCTCCTGTATAACCTTTTGTATAACTTTCTGTAATACGATTTTCTTCTTTCAACTTTGGCATTTTCTAAAACCAAACCAAACTAAAAAGTTTGCTTAAAATTTCCACAAAAGAATTCTAATTTCGACTTTGACATAA